CCTCCTTCGCTCCCCCTCCCCTCGCTCCCCTCGCTCCCCTCGCTCCCCCCTCCCTCGCTCCCTCGCTCTCGCCCTCCCTCGCTCCCCCCTCTCTCCTCCCTTGCCCTTTCCTCCTCCTCTTGCAGTCTTCCCCCTCCGCCTGCATATAACCTCTCTCCATCCCTCCCCCTCCTTCCTCTCCCCCTCATCATCCTCCCACCTGTGGTCCACCACCCGCATCTGCTTCCTGCTCAGCCTCGAGTGTTTCTCGTTGCTAAGCATGAAACCGTCCTCCCTCGTGATTGCCAGCCTCTTTCTCAGCTCCTGCATCATCGCCTTCACCTTGGAGAAGTCCGACAGCTCTTGCGAGGCCTTCCTGTACCGGTAGATCATGATCCCCGCAGCGATCAGCCCCAGCGTCCCCAGCGAGGGCACGAGCGCGTAAACTAGCAGGTAGCTCGGCGACTTGGGAGGAGGGCAGATGTTTGGGTCTTGCTGGAAGTACCCGACAGGCCACACTATCACGCTCTCCTTCCAGACCTGCTGGCTGCCGTTGGCAGCGGCAGGGAGGGTGAAGCGAGTGTCGTTCCATACGCCGACGCTGATCCAGGAGGAGCGCTGCTTGTTGACGATGGAGTAGGGAGACTGCTGCCTGTCGAGCGAGCTGTCCAGCACAACTCGACCTGACGTGCCGCGGAAGCTTGTACGCAGGACCTGAGAGACGATGGCAGAGATGCTGGAGACGGACTGCCCGCTTGCAATGAGGGCGTCGAGAGTCTTGGCGACCAGCATGGCAGCATCGGCAGCGTCCAACATCCACGAGGAGTGACTTCCTCTGCCTACCAGCTGCTGGAGGCCGGAGGTCAGGATTTCATGGTAAGAAGGGTCAAAGAGCGACAGGTTCAGGTTCTGCCAGTAGGAGAGGAAGCGGCTGAACTCCGGAGTCTCCGGCACAAACTCGCGCATTCCCAGGATGCCATTGGGGAGGAGGGAGTCGTCGACTGACAGGACCTCCTCGCACGTGATCCAGACAACTTTGTCTTTGATGCCAAGGCCCTCGAAGACGGCGAAGATCTCGGTCGCAAGGTAGTCGTGGAGGCACATTATGTATACCGACACGTTGCAATCCTGCATGCTGAAGTCCTCGACCAGGATCTGCCCGTTGTGGTTGTTCATAAAACTACCTTTGGCAGAGGGGAGTATCAAGTCTCCTGCCACCCGAAACCCGTGCTCTTGCGCCTTGCTCAAGATCACGTCCCGGAAACCGATGCAGTTCATGTCATCACAAGATATGATCTTCACCTCCTTGAAGCCCAGGAACCTCACAAGGTCCACGATCGCATGCCCCTCGACGGTCGAGACTTGACACAATCGGACGACGTTGGGGTATGTCGACTTGTCGGAGAGAACCGGGCTGTTGGCAGAGGGGGAGAAGAGGAGGAGGTTCTGTTTGGTCAGAAGAGGGGAGAGCACAGCTATGTCCGAGCTATATCCTCCTCCGATCACGATGCTCACGGGGTCAGCGAGACTGCCAGCCTCTGTCTTCCATCTGCTCAGAACTGCTTCGAAGAAGAAGCTCTTCAGGTTGTTAGTCGGGGGAAGGGAACGGGCCATGGTGATGTTCTGAACGTCGAAGTTCAGCCTCGTCCAAGGGAGTATGCTAGCTTCTGCATTGATCTGCGCAAACGCCACCATGGCGGCGGCGGCGTGAAACCTCGACCAGTACTGGAACAGCCCGCCGATGAGGATGGAGGAGGGAGCACAGACGGGAACGCTCAGGCCTGCTGCAAGCACGTCGAGGGTGAGATTGTTTGCCGTCCATCCTCCCACAGTCAGGTAGTCGTGGGCGCCGCTTGTGGTCACGATCTCGTACCTGCGAGCAAGGATGAGCATGTTTGAAAGGCAGGAGCAGCTGACGGTCTTACCTCGCAGTCTCGGGCTCCAGGTTGCCGTCCAAGGCGATCGGGCCCGTTGCCCCTTGGAACCGGACGCGGGGGAGGGCATGCAGCAGGGCAGAGGAGTTGTACGGGTCTCCTCCACCGTCTATCACCAGCTGCAGCCCATGGGCGAGGAGGAAGATAGTGTCGTACGCTAGCGGAAGGAACGGATTCTCCTTCAACTCTTCTAACCCCGCGAAAACGCTGGGGTCCAGGCTGCTCCACACGGCCTGTAGACGACGGAAGGGAAGAGAGTCCTGTGCTGACGCAAGGGAGACGCCGAGGAAATTGGAAGGGAGGTCCTTCGGGTCGATGGTGCTAACGGCCTCGCTCCCGATCCAAATGAACTTGTCCACTATCCCGAGGGTTGCAGCAGCCTGTAGGATCTCCCGCGCCTGGATGTCATTGATGCACAGGAGGATGACGCGAGACTTGGAGCAGTTGGAGAAGATACTCTTGAGACGCCTCTCTGACATGAGCAGGTCTCCGAACGCCCATCGCGCCTCTTCTATGATGACCCCGGACTTACTCGAAGAAGATTCAAACTGCGTGTAGAGCCCCTGGCAGTAGGTGTCCGCGCAAGTTATGGCTATGCAAGATCGCCAGTTGTAGCGCCTGACAATGTCTGCCATCAGCACTCCCTGCATGGCGTCTGACGGGCAAGTTCGTGCCAGGTAAGGGTACAGCGTCTTGTTTGAGAACCTCGGGCTACTTGCGGAGAAGCTCACCGTCAAGACTTTGACCTGCTGCATTGCCGCTTGTAGAGCACTTACTTCTGAGCTGTATCCAGGGCCGACGATTGCAACGGGACGATCTTGAGGGGAGGATCCGCATGAGTGGGTCACGTTCCAGAAGAAGGCGTTGATGGAGTTTGACTGGATGGTTTGGGCGGTGTTGCCAAGCAACGATCCTTCCTGACAGATTGACCTCTCACAGTAAGTGTCCTGCTCGACGAGCTTGAGCTCATAGTCCTTGAGCAGGCTCGTGTCGTTGTTGATGATCATTTGAGCGATCTGCATGACTGTCCGGGCATTGAACTCCATCTGATCGTTGCCCATGCTGAGAGACAACAGCGACCCGATCACTATCTGTTGTTTTTGACATCTTACAGCACACAGTGACGAGAAGAAGAGAAGAAACGATAACAGATGATGTGACTTGCTGCGACGTACAGTGCGGAAAGACATCATCGAAAGAATTACAGAGCTCACTGAAGCACTCTATCACAGCTTAATGCCTCGTACAAGGAGAACAGCTTCTGTTCCATCTCTTTCACCGTCCACAGCTTTGCTCCGACGATTTGAATCTCAAAATACCTTGAAAAAGAACCTCTCCGCGTCTAGCTTGCCCATTCTCCTGAGAAAGCAAATATCACTTGATGCTTAGGAGAGAAAATGGAATCTTCATGCGCAGATGAAACTTTTCAACTATCCTTCCAGGGCAAAGATAACTCCCACATAGGATAAAGGTAGCACAGGACTAGAGAGTACTCACATTCATCTTTGGCACAGTCATTTTCACTTCTCACATTGTCCTCTCTTCATCATTTGGAGATACCGTATCTAACACTTAGCTCTCGGTATCTAGGAAATCTCTGAAATGAAATATTTTTGTTTGCAGGCCTATAAAGCACGATCTTCTTTGAACAGATCTCTTCAAACACAACAAATACCTCCATTAACATCGTCGTATACTCCCCTTCATCCGCTCCATTCCTCGCTCTATGGCACGCCATTGAGCACCCTGCCGTAGTATTGCAACCCATTGCTGAAGCGACGAGAAGACGCATCGATTCATCTCGAGGTTTGTCCGAAGAAATGGGGTAGGGTGGTCTAAAGTGTAGGGTTGTGGGGTCACTCCACAGGAACGGGGTGGGGAGGGGGTGGTCTGGTTGACTAGGGAGACAGGGGTAGTGGAATGAGTCGTAACGGGAGGGGTAGTGAACGCTCTCGAGCATTCCGACGGAATGCGCTCATCATTGGGGGAGGAGGGGGGTGGTCAGACTCAGGAAGGGGGGTGGTGAGGGGTGTCTATTCATGGCTCCGTTTGCTGTGACTGGAAATGACGAGTTGGTAAAAGGGGGGTAGGGGTGGATGAGAGGGGAAATACAGGGGTGTTTCTTCCAGAAGAGAGAGGGGTAGGGGTAGGAAACAGGGTCCAGATTAATGGGGTCGTGTGTGATCATCTCCTGCTTTATTTTACTCCAGAGAACTTTTCATTTCAAGAATTCTTTCCAAATTTTCCTCCTTGAATTCAACTTGACAGAAAATCCTCGATGATCACAAAAATGTCATCCCAAGGGTTTTTTTTACTACCGGGGGGGGGGGGGGGGAGGTATCCCTCATTAGGGTACTGAGCAGTAGGGGTTGTCCGTCAGTACAAAATCCACTTACCCACCCCTCACTGCTGACATGCCATGGGTTAACCACCCCTCCCTTCCCATCTGATCCACGTCAGAGCACATCTTTACTACTGATCACGTCCCAGACCTCGCCCTCTTATTAACTAAAAGATTTTAAGATGCGACTGCTCCACCCCTCCACCCCTCCCTCCACATTTTATTGGTGGATGGTCAGGGAGAAACAGCAACGATGTCCAGATGAACGGAGGGTGGGGATGGAGCTAGCGGTTCTCAGGACGAAGAATGTTTACTGTGTGACTGACGCAAACGATTCCAGCTGAGGTAGTAGCAGATCAGCGAGGAGCTTTGTCATTTCACACAGCAGGTAGAGGTAGGTCAGGGAGCCAGCTGGGACAAGACAGCGAGCGTTCTTCAGGGTCAGCGAGGGTAGACAAAGAGCAAGGCCTGGATTGCACATGGCAGCAGGAGTGAGAGATGCCAGAAGGAATTTGAGGAACATAAAAATGCCGGAGGAAGATAGCAAGTGCAGATCGGACAGGGGGTCATAAAATGTGCACAACAGTGCTGGGGAGTCGATTGTTAGAACTTATACATATGACGGTGATCGGATTCTTGAACAGTAGTGTATTTGGTAAAGAACAAACTGCTCACCGCTCACGTAATCAGAATCTACACTACACCACCGAAATATAGAGGAGGATAAGGTACTACGGTACAACTCACTGCCGACTTGAGGTCACAACCGTGGACAAGGACTCCTAGTCCTCGCCGGGGCAGCCAACTAAGCCTTGTTGATCCATACAACTTTGAGTCACCAGCGTTTTGAACCGTGAACGGTCCGAAGGCAGCAGTTCAAATCATTACAATGCCAGCGACTCGTTAACTTTCAGATGCCAACGTTTGCCATCAATCACAATTCAGATCGGATGTAACCGTTCAAGGCAAGTTTGTCCGGGCTGTCGATATCACTCCTGCGGGGCGTGACAGTGATCGCACTGCGCCGCCACTGGGAGACTCGGCGGGGGGAGTCCGTGGGCCAGTGGCACGGTTGGTTAGTTGGGTGCCATGATGATCATCCGATCCGCCGCCCGGCCCCCGATCATGCCATGATTGGCCCCCCCGGCGATCGGAAAAGACGCCTCGCCGAGTCGGCTGAGGGCCTGGGCCGCGGAGGCCGCGAGTCGCTGAGGCTCGCTGAGGCCGCATAGCCTCATGGTGACCTTCGCCCCCGACCCGGGGGGTCAATGACTCGATCCCGGAACTTCAGTGCTGCGGCGGCCGCCGCACGTTGACGGTGACGCCAGGCCGCATCCCGGCCCCGGGCCGCCCCGCCCAGTGGCCCCGCCGGGCGGCCAGCCCTCAGTGCGCCGCCGGGCAAGGCTTGATCATCCGATCATCCGGGATGACGCACTGCGGCGGCCCGGCCAGCGCGGCCTCAGTAGCCTAGTACTACTACCCCGTACTGTAGCCGGCAGTACGGCGATTGTCCTCGTACTGATTTTTAACTTAACTTTGAGTAAACGCGATAGCCGGGTGCGCTCCAAGCGGATCGATGCTGCATTGCGAAATCCCCGAAACGGGAGAAGAGGAGAGGAGAGGAGAGGAGAGGAGAGGAGAGGAGAGGAGAGGAGAGGAGAGGAGAGGAGAGGAGAGGAGAGAGAGCTAAGGGAAGGAGAGAGGAGACGTCAGTAGCAGAGGAGGAAGAGCAGGAGAGGAAGAGCAGACGATGGGAGAGCAGGGAAGAGCAACCTTGCTTTCTTAGATCAGTAGCACCTCCTGACATCGACAGCAGGAAATCATGCGAGCTCGGACGATACATCCTCTCAGAGTCCTCGTGCTCCTTGCATGCATGGACCTGCTGCTCAGCCTGGCGTTGGACTTTGATGGGGACGCAGCAGCCCTGCGAAAGCTGCTCGATGCGAACCCGCCCAGGGTCAGATTCCCACACAAGCTCACGTCTGTCACAGAGCCCTGGGTGTTCCATGGCAAGAGCGTCTTTGAGGGGTGCGAGGACCAGGTGCTGAATGGCGAGACCCTGTGCCATGGAGGCGCAGGGAGATTCGAGGTCTGACGCTGAACGTGAAAGCGCTCCGTGACCTGGTTGATAGAGAATGGCGTTTTCACGCTGCATGGACGATTACAGGAAAGAAGAACGAGACAAGTTTCATGATTGATAGTCTCGCAGGTTTGCAAGGGAAATGCAGCTGCCTTGTATGAGCATACGTGGTAGTTTGATCTACCTCGCAGCAGCCTGCACCTTTTCTGACCGAACTCAAGGCGGAGACTGGTCGTTTGCGGGATGTCATTTTGTATCAGGAGGTTGACCATACATCGTTCCGTCCACGAGCTCATGATCAACGTAGGAGGCGTCGCTGTTCAGAGCATGTCCATGTCTCAGGTGACCGAACCCTCCACTACCTTGGCGAAGCTCCGTGATGGTTTCTAGGCAAGTTTCAGCGATTGTGAGCTACAAGGGCACGGGGTAGGACCGGCGCGATGTTCTAGAGCTGTGTTCAGCACGGAGCAGTCAAGGTAGACAACTCAAGATCTCGTGTGAGAGCGACTAAGTCCTATGGACAAGTTCCAGTTTCCAGCGATGTAAGATCCGCAATTCTTTGTTCGCCATCTTGGGAACAGGTTTGCCGAGGGCTTGCTTCTTCTGACCTTGAATGATCCCGTCGTTGCAGACTCAGCGAAGATTAGCGTCAACGAATCAAGGATTGAGAACGTCAGCTATGCCCTCGGGACTGACCAGGTGAGTGTTGAGAGATGCTGTACCTGACGACTGCGACTGATGGTTGCTTGTATCAGAACACAAGCATTCTCGTAGAGAACTCAGTGATCCGCGGCGTGAAACTCGGGGTGAGAGGCCTGCTAGTGTTGCTCCGATGAGACTCCGTGAATCACGAGGACCCGTCTTGTCATGTGCAGATCTGCATCAGTGGAGAGTTGCGTCAAGCATCAACGCTGAGGTACGTTGTCTGCACCCTCCCCCTATCGTCCCTCCTCTCACTGGCGGGTACGAACTATCAGGATCGCATCGAGCACACTCGACGGGCCGCTGTGGTTCGGCCATGGGCGACCGCTCCATCTCGACCTGGACCACAACAACTCCATTTTCATCCCTTCATACGAGTCAAGCATGCAGTGCTACAAGAACAGGAAGGGGCCGCACGAGCTCCTGCCTCCTCCGACGCCGGAGAATGAGCAGCCAGGGGAAGCGCCGGGGTCGATGTTCGACCCTCCTCCCAGGCTCAAAGATATGTACGTGCTGGAGTAAAACTCATCAGCCGCGGAGCTACCTTCTTCCCCCGGGCCGGGTCTGCCGCAGTGCTCCCGATGACCGTGAGTCAGTCACAGAAACAGCCGCCGGTCTGACTCTGTAAAACTTTCGAACAGTCTGTCCGAGCTGAGTACTATCAGGCTGACTCTCGTCTTTGAGTCTACTGATCGTGAGTATCATGTAGGCATGGGAACAATTGAGATCCGATCGCTGGGACACCGGGGCGGTGATCGGTGTGGCACGGTCTATCATTGATAATCGGATAAGTGATCCGGGCCGGCATGGCAACCTCCGGCTGGGCTTGCTGCCCGGCCGCAAATTCCGAGTTCGAGTCCGTACCCTATCATAGTATATTTTTTACTCTCCTGACTCAGCGATTCAAGGTCCATACTGATTTTTAACTTAACTTTGAGTAAATGAGAACGGTACTACGGTAGGTCCGATCAGAGCCGCCCGCCCGCGGGGCGCGGCCCGGCGGCCCGGGCCCGGGCCTGAGATGAAACTGGGACAGTGAGGGGAGGTGGTGCAGAATTTGAGAAGAATGCAGGCGGCAGGGGTAAGTGGAGGAGGAGGAGGACAGGAGGAGGGGAGGAGCGGAATGGAGGAAGCACATCGAATGAAGGGGGAATAAGTAGTGTGCAAGTGAAGGATGAGAGTGAGTTTCCAGGGAGGACGGATGGGAAGGGTCTCCAGGAACAGTGTGGAGGAGGAGATAGGGAGTGGTTGTATCATGTAGAGAGGCTGATAGGATTTTTTGAGTATGAGTGAGAGGAACATTTTGATCCATTCTCTGTGTGCCATACCAACATCCGATAAGATCCGAATTTTGGTGATGAGATGCTTGCCGATGGTTTGCACGAGGACCTTTTGGTGACGTTTCGATCAAGCGAGAAGTTGTGTGAATAATGCGGTAGGACGAGGCCATGCTCTCAGACAGCGAACATAATTTAATTGCTTGACAAGTATCCTTGTATTGGACTGATTTGATCCCAGCAACAGGACCAGAAGGCCATGCCGCCAACGAAAGTTGTGAATGGACCCACGAACTCAAGTGCTGGGAACTCACGTTCAGGTGCGACCGGGGAAACCTGCTGGAGGATGCGAGTTGGTCTGCTGGCTCATGGCTGACATGTGGTAACAGCTGAACCGTCGCAAGAGATCAACGAGGACCTGCTGCTCGTCACTGCATGGCTGAAGGTGCAAGGGAGTCCTAGCGGAGACGGTAATGACGTGTGGTAGTGTCATAGCTTCGAGGAAACTTTCCGTTTGCAACTGCGCAAGGGACGGACGAGGATCGGTCAGAGTTTGGTTTGCTCTGCTCTATGATGTGTGACGTTCAGTGCTTCCAGTTTTCTCCACCCTCGTTGAGAAAATCTGCAAGTTCCCCCTCAAGACAGTGCAAACGAACTGGTTGACGAGGACAGGAGCAATCAGACATAGGGCGGTGAGAGCTGGGAAAGTTGTTGTCCAGGATGACTTGATCGGTTTCAGTTTGATGTCTTGAAGCACGACCTCAACCTGATCTGCCAAGATCTCATGGAGAAGAACAGCAGATGGTTCGATCGTTGACTTCCTACTCCTTTGTGTGGCTGATGCTGATTGTTCAACAGCGGCCCCGTAGGCGATGCAATCCGCAGACAATTTTTTGCAGACAACATGGGCTTCTTCTTCATCATCAAGTCACCCACTCCAGGTTCATTACTCTGTCTTCCCTCTCATGACTGTCACCGATCTTGGCTGCGCTGTTTTGTTGCTGTCAGCCTGACGAGTTTCCATGTCAGAATATGCAGGGACGTACATCAGGCTGCGGCAGTTCATACACAACTCAAAACCCGTGAGACTTGCTCTGTCCTCTTTGTAATTGTAAAACTTTCTCACTCTGGATGCAAAGATCTACAAGAAGGAGCTCTTACCTGTGAGCGCTTGATTCCTTGTACTGAAGCGAGGGAGAGGGTGATTGTTGGAGCAGGTTTTGTATCCCGTCCTGGTCTACCTTACTCTTGAGCTGATAGAGTACGATCTTGATGGAACTAAGGTACATGGCGATGTTTCACACGCAGAAATGTCCGATCTTTCACGTGTAGAGGTCGTAGATGTGTCACAATCGGACACGTTCTTCATGTTTTGCAATGTCAATCAACCCCTGGCCCTCATGCTTCGCCCAGGTTGCTGCTGCTCATGCCCTGCTGGACCTGGCCAAGGACGATCACTACGAGCAGCATCGAGAGCAGGTGCCTCTCAGAGGCAGCATCTCGCCCGCCGCCGCTGACTGGCTCCTCCCAGTACCTCCATCTTCGCGGGCTTTTCAAGTGGGACCACGTGTGCCAGAGCAGGTACTCACAGCTCTCTCCCAGCTGGGCTTGACCTGCGGGCAGGATCTTCAAGGAGTACTACACGCCGGGGGTGCAATCGGAGGTTGGAAGGGCGTGCGGGGGGGTATGAGGAGTGACTGGTGCCGTAGAGCAACACAGTAACGCTCTCGCCGATGGCTTACTATGTGACTGAGATGTTTGACAAGTTGTCAGTTGTGATGACCATGCCTGCAGCTCATGTGCTATCACGCGAAGGAGGAGTGCCGGAAACACTTGGTGAGGATAGTCACTTTGTTCATGATGATGACGGAGATGATGATGATGATGGAGATGACGATGGTGGTGGTGGTGGTGGTGGTGGTGGTGATGATGATGATGATGATGGTGGTGGTCATGATGGTGAAGGAGAGGCCATCACCACCACCACCACCATCGCTACCTAGATCGCCGACCGTTTCTTGTCTTCCTCTTCTTTCATCACTCTTATTGCAGGTCAACATCTTCATGCGCATGTTTTATCTTCGCATGAATGTCCTAGTCAAAGGAGACGACGCGCTTCACAGCGATCTGGTCTCTACGTCCACCTCCTCCTCGTCTCCCCCTCTTCCTCTTCCTCTTCCTCTTCCTCTTCCCTCCCTCCCTTCCTCCCTCCCTCCCCCTTACTCCCTCTTACTCCCTCTTACTCCCTCCCTCCCTCCCTCCCTGCTTTCCTTCGCCTCTGTTTCCCCTCTGATCGTCTCTCGGTGTAGGAGAAGCCCAACCACTGGTCGCCCGATCAGTATCTCGAGTCTACGTTCCTTCCTCTCTTCCCTAAAAGTCAGTCGGGCGCGTCAGGGTCAGCAACCGACGGGAAGGGAAAAGGTGAGGAGGGAGGGACTGAGGGAGGAGGGTATGGAGAGGAGGAAGAGCATGCGTAGTGGGAGGAAGGGGAGGAGAAGGAGCAGGGGCACGAGGAGAAGAGGGAGGAATGGGAGGAGAAGGATGAGGTGGAGGGAGGAGGAGGAGGACGAGGAGGAGGCTTTTGCTTGTCAATGACTATTTGTCCTGAAGCTATCAAGGACCTTCCTTCCTGGGACGAAGTCATAACAAAGGTTCCCTTCCACCATCCCTCTCCACGTTCTCCTCCTCTCATACCCTCCACTCCTCCCCTCTCCTCCTTCTCCTATACTCCTCCTCCTTCAATCTCCTTCCTCCCCGTCCCTTCCCAGCTCTCTCTCCTCCATCCTCCCCTCCTGCACTAACTCTTTCGTCTTCTCACTCCGTTGGCTCTGCTCCTGCATGTCCTCCCTCATCAACCTGTCCCTTCCCCTCCCTCCTCTCCCTTGTCCTCTCCCCCTCCCTCCTCTGATGCTGCTCGTGCAGACTGTGCAAAGTCAGAAACAGCAGGAGGAGCAGGAGAAACTAGAGGCAGAGTCAGCAGCAGCAGCAGCAGCAGGGAATGCTCTGCCTGCAGAGGAAGGAGCAGGGCAGAAGAGGAAGGCAGAGGAGGCAGGAGGGGCAGGAGGAGGGGCAATGCGAGGAGGAGAGGTCCCCTATAAAATAAAAAAAGGAGCTTTTAGAAGAAGAGG